ATCATGGTTTTTACATTTTTTTTTAAATAAAGGAGCAATATATTATATCTATAATATTATATAATTTATCAAATATACATGTATATATAATTATTTTATTAAGAGCTTAGAAAAGAATTTTCAGAGAGAGAGAGAGAGAGAGAGAGAGAGAGAGAGAAATATTGCGATAATATATGTATCTTGAAGAGACTGTTATTATTATCAAAATATATGACGACGGTAGTCGTTATCTAGGTATGCTTGACTCTTGCGGGCTTTTACGATGGCCCATCATTAATCAAATACCAAAGACCGGTTACACTGTGTTAATCAGATGTAGAGGGCTAGGAAAAATGATCGCGCGCAGAACATCTCGAGTCGCACGTATCTTTTCGCGCTGGCAGAACATCTTATTACCGACGAAAACATGCCTCAAACCAGTTTCCCCGGCTTCTCCGTGACGTTCGCAAGACGAAAAAAAAGAGAGTAAAGAAAGAAAGAAAAGAGAAAAAGGCGAATTCACCCATACTCTTTCGAATCTTTAGCCTTTATAGGACCAGGGCTTACGCGTTTCGCACTTACTTGTAGCCGTATTCGAGATTATCCCCGCATCCGCCCCAGATCCAATCGCGTTTTAGATCTTTGGGCCTGTTACTCCTGGAACAGCCGCACGACGACAGGTGGCCATCTCGGCAGGAACGGCTGATGGAATAGACCACTCCAGCGGCGGTGATCGCGTGAACGAACGCGGTTTCCCTGCTCGCTGCAACGACAGCATTGTTTTAATTGCAGAAGTTGGATGATAAAATATTGCTGTCGCTTGAATACCGCGATTTCCGGAATATTAGCATTAGCACCGATGTACCTATTCTAAGTATTGGACCGAACACGGTCTCATCGTGAACGGTGGAGCAGTTCCATCTTCTGTCCTTGAACTGATGCTGGCACTCCATAACGCCGTATTTCGCGCCCTTGGCTACGCTGAACATGTGATCCACAGACAGCTGGCAGAGCTTCCCTTGGCCCTGAGACAAGCCCTTCAGACCGACGCAGATCGTGGAGGCACTCGCATCAAACGGCTCCATCGTTTGCGCCGATTCCAGTTGCGGCAAGTGTCGTAAACCCAGGTTTCTGTTGTGTATAAAATAACGTAAACTTAAGAACTTTTGTAAGATTGAATCTGTTTTCTATTCCTGCAATAGATTACATTGGAACTTTTTTTCTTACTTTAGATAAATGTCAAACACATATCTATTTCATTTTAATAATGAATTCGATTGGACGCACTTAGTGCGCGTTAAAGCCGTACACAAATTGACATAAAGATGTTTATTATAAATATAGAAATCAGTTAAACTATGAAATATTCAATATACTTTATTATAGCTGGTAAAATACGTATTTTATAATTCAAAATATTCACGTATTACTTTCACACTGAGATTAAATCAGTATATGTGCAATAGCTAATATGCATCAATGCACACTAGTCCAATCGAATTCGCTATAAGTTTCAAAAGTATCTAATATACTAATTCAGTTATAAAAAAAATAAACTTATTATGTTTCAAAGACATAATTAAATTTTCTTTTCTTTTAAAAAGCATCGGATCGATTGCAATAGTGTTTCTATAGGAATCTTTAATTCTAAGAATTCTTCTTTAGGAAGAGTTAGAGTCTTTATTGTGCAATTTGACGGCCATTTCGAAAACACCACGACGTCGCGTCAGTCGTTGCAGCGTTCGAGACCACGGCCCCCTTATAACTCCTGGAGATTTGTTACGCCGATTATATAAATTCGGTGCGGGGCGGCGAGTCCGTCCGCGTCCGTGGGCGCGCAGCGGCCCTCGGATTTCCTCCTTAATGGTGCATTTGTGAGTCAACCGAGCGAGATGATGGAACGGCACCGTCAAAGACAGAAGCTGAGGGCCGAGTATAGCCAGCAAGAGCCCCGCCAATTTGAAATTCGAAACGGATGGCCATCATCGCGAGAGAAGTTTCCAACAGTCAAATTCGAATCGCGTCTCCCCCGTTTATTCTCATGATGAGGTCATCCATCGAGAAAAATCTTCGGGAAATATACAGAAAGAATGGTTTTGCTGAAGTATCTAAATAGTTAGATACAGATCTGAAAATAATTTTGTTGAGCATCAAAATAATTATGTAGAACGCCTGAACGTTAATGATAATGTTTGCAAACAATTTTAATTTTTCTAATAATTAGTTTAAACGGTTTACATAATTATTTTGATGTTCAAACAAAATTATTTTCTTTAGCTAGCTAAATTTTTTGGATACTTTAGAAAAGCTGTTTTTTTTCTGCAATTGGCAAAACCGCAGACGGATTTCGACTTGGGGATTTAAACGCTCGCAATTTCTACCCAGTGACTTCGATAAATTTCTCATTAGTTAACAATGATTAATCTGCCGATGCTGCATCTATCTAATTTGCGTAAATATTTATATTTTTATTATTTTATTACGACAAAGCTTTGATAAATCCTAAACTTTAAGTATATTATATTTTTAAGTATATTAAAGAACGATTTCGCTGAAGTAAAAATTTAGCTAGATACAAATCTGAAAATAATTTTATTTGGACCATCAAACATTAGGTCACTTAAACTGATTATAAAAACGTTGAAACTTTGCAAAATTGTCATTAACGTTCAAGCGTTCTACATAATTATTTTGATGGTCCAACAAAATTATTTTCAGATCGGCATTTAATTAAACGTGTTTAAATACTTTAACAAAATCGTTCTTTCTGTGTATATTTTAGATATATTATCAAAAATACACAATACAGATATAGAATTATCACGACAAAAGATACATATCTATGTAACATTATAGACATATTGATATTTGCAAGTATTTTTCTTTTGTAGGATAAGATATAATTTCGAACAGTATAACATTTCTGAACGAAATAAAATTTGAATTCAATTTTCCAAGTACAAGTTTAGTAATTCTTTTATCGTATAGATGGTATTGAAGAGTATCAAACAAATTTAAAATCGGATAAAAATCTTATTTCGTTTAGAATTATATCATGTTCAAAGTTGTGCCACTTTATCTATCGAGCAAGTTTCACGCTGTATGATTTAAAAGAATACACTTTTCAATTACATTTTATAATCTCAGGTCTGGACTTATGTCTCCCAATCGCTTTCGTTCAGTCGCAACGTACGCAGCAAGTCGCGACAACCTGCACAACGACTCGGTGCAACCTGGACGACCTGCCCGAGCGTGACTCAGGTGAATACTCGTCGGGATTGTCGGCGATGTGACGCGACCGCTTGAGATGTATCAACAGCGTGAGTTACTTGGGAATTTCTACAGAGTAACGATCGGAAGATTATGACTCGTGATTTCAAGCTGTTAGTACATCAATTTCACATTAAAAATTGAATAACTCTCGCCTGAAATACTATATTGTGCAATAAATCAGATTTATTAGCGAAAACTAACAACCACTTTGAAATAGGAAAAGGAATGAAAGAAATCCTCTTCGAGATGTTTCTTATCCGGTATCGGAATTATTACGGAAAACAGAATTCCGATATTCCCGCCTCCATCGAAGTTCATTCTTGGGAATTTCTACGGAACGATCGAAAGATTATGACTCGTGATTTCAAGCTATTAGTGCATCAATTTCACGTAAAAAATTGAATAAAATATTATACAATAAATGGAATTTATTAGCGAGAACCACCACTTTGAAATGGGAAAAGAAATTCTCGTCCTCGAGATGTTTTCTTGTATCGGAATTATTGGAAAAAACATGAGAATCTCAGTATTCCCGCCTCCAACAAGGTCCATCTGAAGTTGTCGCGATCGAGAGAGAGTGAAAGAGAGAGAAAGAGAAGTCGTAAAAGCCCGCGCGTGAGTGTCTAGGGAGTGTAATAGACGACATTAATATTCTGGAACACGCTCCGGCGACGATATATCATCGGCTTTACACTCCCCTAAAACAATGGCGCGGACAAACCTCGCGGATCAGGGAAGGGGGCATGCGCGGTGGAAAGAGCGATAATATTTCGACGGGGTACGACCCACGCAGCGTGCTCAGGGCACCGTCGTCGCTGGTCGTCGCGTCGCGTTGCGTCGCGTCGCGTCGTGGGCTGCGGGGCCCGCAAAATAATGCCCCGTGTCTCCTAAGAGATTGCGGCTACATCCGCAGCAACGCACGTTCGCATATACGGGGTGTCCCGAGGCAATCGCGAGCTGCGGGACAAAATGGGATTCTGTCACGTTGTAAAAAATTGCGCCGAGTAATTAAGCAACGAGACGATTAATCGGATGACACATCAAATA